GTAAATAATGTCTTTCTCTAATAGCTAAATATTTATCCTCTCAACACAGGATTAAAAAATGTGTTTCAATGGGGTTTTTAATTTCGCTTTACAATGTTTTCGCTTAACGGCGATTTTCCTGGAACAGATTATCATCGTTAAGCAAGACACCACTGTATTTGAGAGGGCAGAGATAATGAAGAAACTTAAATTCAGGGTTGAGCCAGCCTTTTATACTACATTAGCTGAAATCTTGTTGCTGTAACATATGCTGAGCAAGACTAATGAAGTAATTAGCAGTGATGACTTCTGAGAAATTAAACATTTCTGACTTCACTCAGACAGCTCTTCCGTAATCCTTTTCATTGCTGGGAAGCTGTGGAAGCCACAAGATGGGAGATGTCAGTCTTTAATTATAGCAAATCACTCCTGGATCCAATGGCTTCCTTGCAATGAAAGGGACTACGCGAGCTTCAGGAGAGAAGCTGGAAATTTTTAATTTTTAAAATAAAGTCACCATCAATCTTACAAGGTGCAGGTTATAGCAAGAAGTGCTCTCAGAATCACTTCTCCCTAAAGAGAAAATGATCTTGGGCGAGGAGTCACTATAGGTGCAAGCAATCACCACTTTTCTTACCTGATACACGTCCTTTAGCCTCAGAAGTGCGTAGTCCTTGCTCTGTGGACAAGCTCGACCTGAAATAGAGCTTCTTGCCTACTTAACAAGGCAATCAACCATTGACTGTGTGCTTCCTTAGATAGCACAAAAGACTGGCTAGGTAGGATCTCTTAGTTATAGTAGCAATTAGTGACCTTTCCAATCTCCACTTGTTTTAGGTGCAATCCTGCTGTTCAAGAGACAAGCCCTTTGTTGAAGGATAATTGTTTTATTAAGAAAATTAAGTACTTCCATTAAAATACAGTTGTAGCTTAAAAGCATAAAGCATAATCATATCCAGTTAGGTAAAGGTAAAGGTTCCCCTTGACATTTAGCCCAGTCATGTCTGACTCTAGGGTGCGGTGCTCATCCCCGTTTACAAGCCATAGAGCCAGCGTTTGTCCAAAGACAGTTTCCATGGTCACGTGGCCAGCGCAACGAGACATGGAACGCCGTTACCTTCCCACCGAGGTGGTACCTATTTATCTACTCGCATTTTTACATGCTTTCGAACTGCTAGATTGGCGGGAGCTGGGACAAGCAACGGGAGCTCACTCCGTTGCGTAGATTCGATCTTACGACTGCTGGTCTTCTTACCTTGCAGCACAGAGGCTTCTGCGGTTTAACCCGCAGTGCCACCACATCCAAGCAGTTACCATGATTCAAATAAACTTACTATTCCTAAATTAAAATAATAAAAGCTAAACTAACTTAAGTAATCGTTTGGCAACATTCTACACTGTAGCATCTAGAGAAGCTGGGCGAATCTCTCTGTAAGTAATCGTTTTGGCAACATTCTACACTGTAGCCTCTAGAGAAGCTGGGCGAATCTCTCCTCCCTCTCTTTCAAAAAGACAAACCTCTTTTTTCTCACATTCCACAACACCAGCCATCAACCATATATCACATACATGAAACAACCATTTTTCTACATGTCTCTGGACTACCTTCTTTCTGACACTTCCAAGCTGTTAACCAATTAGGATCATGAGGGCGTAACAGAGTTCACCACCCCTATTCCACAGGAGATCTTGCAGGTGCCTTATCTCATTCCAATTAAGAGGAGTGTGGTATCCGGTCTTCTCCTCAAACCTTGCTCCTTATCTTGGTGCCAGGCAGAGCAAACTTGGAACAACAATCCCATGAGAACATTTCAGTGGTTTATATCCAAACTATACAGAACCTAACAGACTCCATCTTTGTATGACTACAAGTCCCAGTTTCCTTCTAATTCCTGACAAGTGCTACATAAACTTTCTGAATGGGAGGCCATTAGTGATGGGACTGTACTCTGTACAGACAATAATGCTATGAAATGGGAAAGACAATAGGAGAGGAAGAACCAACATGAAATGGACTGATCTATTAGCAGAATTCACCACATTTATTTTGAAAGACCTAAGCAGGGATGTTGATGATGGGACCTTTCAGAGATCTTTAACTCAAAGGTTCTGGAGGGTTTTGAATCACTTGTATACTTATTTGTTGTATACTTGTTTGTTTTATGTCTACGTTTGATGTTTTTACATATTGCAGAGATATGCCACAACTTTACTGTAAATGTCTATGTTTTTTCCCTATATAATTTGGTGTAAAGACTGTAACAATAAACTGTACTGTACTAACTCACAGGGTCACTACTTTTGGATACCTGATGGTATATAATAACTAAGCATGGGAATTTAGCCTGTTTTAGACTGCAGCTCCAAAAATGCACCAAAAATTCCCCCAGACAGAATCCTTGGAGCTGAAGGCCAAAAACAATAATTTAAAGAAGAGCTTTTTCCACCTTCTTAAAACAGTAATTTAAAGAAGAGCTTTTCCCATGTGGCCCTCAAATACCATTACTGTATACCGTACTGGCCTTTCAGGAAGATGGAAACTGCACCCAATAGTGCCTGGAATTGGTGGAAAGATTCATGGGAATCTTATCAGGCACCCAATGAAAATGGGATGGATATTTTCACTGTCTATTAGCCAGTACTGTATCTCAAAGAATTACCCATTCCATACTCTCTTGGCACTTTCTCACATGGAAGTGAGAAAATTCCTCCTTAAGCTACTGTTTTTGGGCTGTACCTCCCAAGATTCTGCCTGGGTATATTCTCCGAAAATCTTGCAGCCCAAAAGAATCTAAAGTCCCATCCCTAATAATAAGTGTCTCTTCAGTAGTCTGTATAAGGGCTTAGCAAGGAAGTGAATTAATGAAAGTAGAATAACCCCTCTCTATATATTTGAAAACAGAGATTCAGACTACACTGCAATTTTATTTCTATTCATGCTAATCTAATCTTATTTTAGAACTGCAGAGCTAAAGTATTGCAAAATATAACTCTTTTCATCCGCGCATGCACACTGAACTTCAGTAAAGAGAGGATTAGAAAAAACCCCAAGATGGTAGCTATTCTTCTTGCTGCAGCTGAAAAATACTCCAAAAAGGCTTTCTTAAAACCATCTGGATGGACCACAAAATAGCAAATGAGAATGAATGGACATGAATGCAAAATGAGACACATATGGGCAAAACTGCCTATTTTATATATACATAAACATAGCTGGAGCTCACTGTGAATGCTCAGGAAAAAGAACTTGGGGTTTTGCTGTATCAGTAAAAATTTAAAATAAAATGGAAAGATCTGCACCAAATCTGGGTAGTTAAATCCCTTTTTTATTCCATAAATAGTTTCCCTTTATTTTTAATTTAAGTATTCTCACAGAAGCTGCAGAGGGCAGAAAACATCTACGCTCACATACAAAGCTAAGCCAGAATTCAGGAATACTAAGGTTTATTGTTTATGAACCATGTGCTACATATAGCCCATTTGGCTTCTAATTCTCTAAGGCAACTGAAACCTTAGGGTCATCCAAATGGGGGCTCACAGTCTCTTACAAACCACATTCACAGAAGAAGGTTCGTTCTTCCTTCATAATTCCTACCAATGGAGCAACAAACCAGAAGCCTTATTCCAGTTGACATACTAAGCTTTCAACTGCTTGCAAGTTTAACCACTGGCATTAGTGGGAGGAATTAAATAGAGCAAGTGTGTGTATGCATACAGCTTGTGAACAGGATTCTTCAAAATTCTGGCATTCTGTTGCCTGCAAATCAGCCAGTTTCAGAAAAGAAAATTAGCTGGTCTGTTTTATAGACCATCAAACAAAGATACAATTATGTTTCATCTCTAATTGTTTTATTCATATGAAATTTTAATCAGAATCTCCTTTTGGAGATCATTAATTTATAGAGTCATTATTAATCAGAAAAAAACAAAGAAAAATTAAAAATAAAGACAAAAAAAGTTGTGGCACCTTAAAGACTGATATATTTTAATGTGAGCTCTCCAAGTCTGAGGAAATGATTTGTTCACAGAAGCTTAGATTAAAATATGGCAGTTAGTCTTTAAGATGCCACAACTTTTTTGTCTTTTTATTTTGCCTGATATGCCAGCACAGATTAACTGGGCTACCTCTTCTAAAACTACAAAAATCAGAAGCAGTTTGACAGCAAACAATTTGAATAAGTTAACATTCCTACAATTTTTCTATTGGTATCTAACAACCCGCAAAAAGAAACTCTGGGAAAGGGATTGGGTGTATCAGAGAACGTTTAAAAAGCAACTTTCTAAGTACAGTACTTCAATTAAATCAGATATACACAAAGTGCAACCCTTCAAATGCTGTAGGACTACAAATCCCATTAATCCCAGCTGGCACAACCAGTGCTGAGGAATGATGGAAGTCACAGTGGAAAAGCACCTGCAGGCTTACACTTTGCCTACCATGTGGCCAAATTAACGATGTGGAACAACTAGGAGGCTCGGCTGGATGAAAGCTCTACCTCCAGGGGCAACATCGTACTTTCTAGAGTGACAAGGACAAAAGGCGGGGGTACTGTGGGATCTCCTCATGCCGGATTCGGCCTTCTCTCAAACATCTGGCTCACCCTTTCCCCCTGCCAACTTAACACATACACGTTAAACAACTGTACTAGAAGGAATACGCTTCTTTATTCTGTACCGAACCTCGAGGACGGTCCTAAAAACGCTTCCGTGTAAGTAAAAAAAGTGAAACCCAACTTTAGAGTGTCGTCACGTGGGAATGTTAGCTCGCGTGTTTGGCGACAAACCTCAGGAGTTACTTACTGCTACTACAACGTACTCAGCGCCGGCGCCGACACGCTTATTTCGGCAGAAACAACAACGGCATTCCTGCACTAGAGGGGAAGGGCGGGAAGGCACAGCTTTTCCTTGCACCAACCCCCGTCCTTGTGTGGGAGTGACGAAGCCAAGCTCCCCCGCTGCCCCTCCGCCCTTTATCGACCCGTTCCTCTCTCTCCCTCCCCCCTCCGCCACCCTCCTTCGCCGCCATCGCCTCACTTCCCACTTCAGGCACCACGAACCGCAGAGAAGCGAAACGTCGTACAGGGCAGCCCTTGCGCGCATGCGCGGTAACGTGAGGCGCGGCGGCCTCTCCTGTTCCTGCCTCCGAGCGCCAAGCTTCTTTCTCTCCGTGGCTTCGGGAACGTCGCCGCCGCCGCCATGCCGAAGCTGAGCAAAGAGGCGAAGCAGCGGCTACAGCACCTTTTCAAAGGGGGTCAATTCGCCATCCGCTGGGGCTTCATCCCCGTCGTGCTCTATCTAGGTCAGTCCCGGGGCTGGCGGGAAGGAAGGCTTTTGGCTGCCGCGGGGTCGAAGCTTGGGTAGAGAGAGCACTTCCAGGGCGCCCGGCCTGCCCTGAACCGAAAAGCAGAGGCGGGCCGTGAGGGCTCGGGTGTGTCGTCTTGAGGGGCTCCGTTAACGGCTGTCTTGTGGGGAAGGGGGAGCTCCAGCGTGTGGGCCCGCGGCGGGTCTTTTAAGAAAAGGCCACGTGAACCGTTGTGAGGCCGTTGCCTGGGGGAGCGTTGGTAGTTTCACGTGTTCGGTTTTCCGCCCCTCCTCTGAGAGTTGGGGAGTTCACGGAGGCCGGGTTGAGAAAACGCTGGGCGCAGCCCCGGCGTCTCCTGCCTCCGTACCCCTTAACCCGAACCCGCTGCCATCGTTAGCGCCGGTGCTTCTCTTTTCGGGTTGAATTTACAAGAAAGACGGAGCTTGAGAAAGGGTCGGGGTTCTCCCTTTCGCGGAGTAGGCCGGCTGCTTTATAGTTACTTGTGAAAAAGCCACTTGTTGCCCAGACGCATCCAAATGAGGTGGGAGGATGAACGTACTCGTCACTTATTTATTTATTTATTTTTTATTTATTTATTTATTTAACTTATATGCCGCCCACTCTACCCAAAGGTCTCTGGGCGGCTTACAACGATTAAAATTCAACTCAAATACAATAAGAGATTCAATGATTAAAATACAATTAAAATTGCCATCAGGACCCACAGTTGATGTTATTTCAGTTAAAAGCCATTTGGAACAGGAAGGTTTTGACCTGGCCCCGAAATGTCATCAGCGTCTGCGCCAGACGAATTTCAGTCGGGAGGGCGTTCCATAGTCTGGGGGCAGCTGCCGAAAAGGCCCTTTCTCTACAAGTTGTCCCTCTTACCTCCTTGAGGGATGGCTCTTTCAAAAGGGTCCCCTGGCCCTTGTGACTGCAACCCAGATACACACCTTTTGGATGCTCCTGGGCGTTAAAAACTACACTCTGCGACAGGAAGCCTAGTGACTCAAGGAGTGAGCCGTGGCCTAGGCCGCTGTGGTCCCTTATATTTTATGTTTTCTCTTGTGCTCAGTCATGGTTCTGAGGAACAGCACACAAGGAACCATTCAGGACTAATAATCCTCTGATGGAAATGGCATAGGCCAGTCACCCTGCATCATGTTTTTGGTTTTAATAAACAAATTATAACCCATAAATTAGCATCAGTTCTTCGGCAGTCGGCCTTTATGGTCCAGCTCTCGCTTCCATACATCGCTACTGGAAAAAACCATAGCTTTGACTATGCAGACCTTTGTCGGCAAGGTGATGTCTCTGCTTTTTAAGATGTTTTCTAGGTTTGTCATCACTTTCCTCCCAAGAAGCAGTTGTCTTTTAATTTCATGGCTGCTGTCACCATCTGCAGTGATCAGGGAGCCCAAGAAAGTAAAATCTGTCATTGCCTCTATATCTTCCCCTTCTGTTTGCCAGGAGATGATGGGACCAGTGGCCATGAGCTTAGTATTATTATAATATTTGTAACATTTATAATATTACATATTACATAGTGCTTATTTATTTGGTATGACAGATATTGCTTCCTCTATATTCCTTTATATTCATAATGCATAACTGGCCCTGGTACATTTTATTTGTATCTTCATTTCTGTCTGAGGCACACATTATGAAGACCCTGCCAGACTTATCTTAGTTTACATATTGTTTCTGTTAGACTTCAGGCTGACACTGCCTATATATGTATATAAGCACTTTGGCCTCTTTTAGTTTACTTTTTCCTTTGAACTGAATCATACTTCTGCACACAAGGGACCATTCAGGACTGTTGTCCTCTGCTGGAAGTGGCATAGACTAGTCTCTCACCCCCAAATGCTATCCTGCATCTGTTGAAAAGGTGTAATTATCAGCTGCACCTATAAAGTTATTTTCTAGAAATCTTTGAACATGCTGAAACATTTTGTATCAAAGCTGAATGCTTGCAGCTCTCCATACACGGTATTAATGGAAAGCTAATGATCTTAGCAACCCTCGCCACTGATTATGATGTTGAGGGCTTGTGGGAATTGAAGTGCTACGTATGAATGTCATACTGAAAACATACTGGTCAGAATGAGTATATTACTGAATTTTTAGTGGTTACATTTTCATCTTGTCATATGACAAGATTAGTATCTTTCATGTTATGTAAAAAAGCAATTGTGGTTTCATGATATAAATTAAATTTGTATTATTTTAATCAGGTTTCAAGAGAGGTGCAGATCCTGGAATGCCTGAGCCAACCCTTCTGAGGTATGTTTCAAATTTTAATTGTTTTACAAAAATAATACATGCTGAAGGAAAGAATGTAAAATATATTTCTGTGATTAGCTTTGAGGTGATAATCGGAAATTTAGGCTGGCATCGTATATTTCAGAGATAGAACTTGTGACTCTCCAGTTGTTGAATTCCAGGTGACATCTGACCATACTTAGCTTGGCTGGTGGTGAGGCATGGTGGAAGTGGGAGTTTATCAAGATGTGGAGGATCAAGGGTATATCATTCCTTCTGTAATCATAATTATGATTACCTGAGAAGAAGTCCCATTGAACATACAGAGACATACAGTGGGGCCTCGACTTACAAAGTCCTGCAGAGGCAGAGGGCAGCTGGGATGGCTTTGGAAGCCCGGCAAGCTGAAAGCTGCCCCAACCTCCGTGCCGGGTGCCGGTTTCCCAGGCTTCCAAAGCCGCCCCTGCTGCCCTCTGCCTCCTGTCCCCGCTGCCTCCGCTGCTGCAGGAGGATTTTATTGTTGAAATTTTTTTGTGATTTTTTTTCCTTTGGCCGGAACCGATTAAATGGTTTTCAGTGCATTCCTATGGGAAATGGTGCTTCGACTTACGAATTTTTTGAGTTACGGCCACCATTCCAATATGGATTAATTTCATAAGTCAAGGCACCACTGTACAGTATTTCTGAGTAGAAATGTAGAATTGCATTGCAAGACTTACTAGAAGACGTAAGACATAGATAAGTTCCTGTATTCCTCTTGATTAAGAGACAAAGACTTGATGTGACAGGTTGTTTTAAGTGAACCAGTGACAAAAGTAAATTTTTTGTCTGATGATTGCTGACATTAGCATGAAGTAGTGTTTCATTTTAGTGGAGAAAAGTCTGCCTATGGGAATTTGCTTGTCTGTAAGAATTGGTAACAATGGAATGTATAAACGTCTGTGTTCTTACTATATCAAGCACAACTTTTTAAAAGGTAGTTTATGTTATTGTGGTTTGGATTATTTCAACATCCCAGTGGGAACAGTTTGCTCAATACTTCTGACCTGCTTCCAGAATCAGAGATTTCACTAATATTCCTCTTTCCCTGTCTTTCATTTCTTGTAGTCTTCTTTGGGGCTGAACGATTTAATGAAAACATTTTGGAAGCCACAGTTGAAAAAGTGTAGATTCCAGAAGCTGGGAAGGACAATTTTGGTGACTGAGCTACTGACCAGCTGTTTCCTGATGACATAGGATATGCTTACAACATGATGGAATTTCTTTCAGTTTAATTTATTTGTCATATTTCATTCACTTTTGTCTGAATAAATGTTTTTTCTGAAATCATTTAACTGAATAGCAAGGTTATTTCTTCTAAGTTATTACACATGCTGTCTCCTTTGCCTTATTTTCTACACTTGGCATGCCACTGTATTAGCCTTATCTTTGTGATCATAAACAACTGGGCTGGTCAGTTTTCATTTCAGTGTTTGGTTAGGCAAGGTCATATTGTCAGAAATGAAACACCACTAACAACAAATAAGAAAAAATATGTGGTATGTGCCTTTGTTCATCTTCAAGATCTGCATATCACTGTTAGTTCAGTACTTTCTTGATTGACTTTTAGTTGTCTGTAGAACAGACTCTGCCCAGCACTGCATAAATACAGCAATGTGGTTATTTAAATAAGAAAGAACTAGCAGTTGCAAATGCAGTAGCACTTTCCACAGCACTGCATTGTGTTTGGTGCCAGTTTTCTTACATATTGAATTGAACCAATCGCTTTAGGACAGGTGTGGAAAAAAGTTTTAACTCTGAGATGCATATATGATGTGAGGTCCAGGGTATGTTTGTATACATGCACGCTCATGTGCGCACACACACAGAGACAGACAGTTACCTCGATGCATAGGAATGGGTAGGTTCAGAATCCTTTCTCGGCTCACTGAGTTTAGATTATTTTGTGTTCAGTTGTGTTAATCCCCCTGCAGATTTCTATTTCCCCACTATTGGCAGCAGTACCAAAACTGATTTCTCTATTGGGAATCCTGAAAAGATGATGCGTTTAGAATCTCTAGTCTGCCATTTTCTAATCTTGATCAGAATGGATCATAATTGTAATATATGTGGAATGGTTGTGGTTAAGCTTTCTGTCGTCTGTAATCACTGTCAGGATTCTAGATTCTTATCCTGGTGTTGCCAACAGTGCTCTTGTTTTGGGTTTCTGTGTGGGATTGTATCAATTTTGACTTCTGTATTTTTTTGTTTTGTTCTAATGCAAACCAAAGAAATGTACATGTGAGTATCAAAACTTTTTCAACTGCAACCATTTTCTGAGAGAAGGGTTGCATTTTCTGACAGAATTGCAAGGGTGCCAATATTTTTGGCCATGACTATATATACAGTTCACTCTCTGTGTTGTCACTGCAGCTTTTTGCAGAGGATTCCTCAGTGCTATCAAACCTACTGACCTTTATTAGTACTGTACCTTCTTTATCTTCTAATTGTTGTCCTTCTGACTCTTTGGATGGAAAAGCCTGACAAATGGATGATTGGATCTTACACTGCGCAGAATGTGTTGGAGAATGCAAGGGAGATGATGGTGTTGTTGGGGTTGCAGAAACAGAATCCCATGTACATAATAAACCATCTGGTAGGTACATCAGTATAGACACAGTTCTCATGTGTCTGATCTGCCCTCACAGTGTGAACCTGGTTATATGTGCTTGCTCACTATGTCCTCCTTGCTGCTTACCATGAGGAGTTGCTGTCAAACCCCAGCCCATTTTTTAGGTATGCCTGAGGAAACTGTTGATCAACTGGATTTGAATTTGATTTGAATTTCTTTTGCTTGACTCTTGTGGTTCTCATTTTGCACTTCATTCGTATCTTAACTCAACTATCTTAAGCTGTAATTTATATTGCCATTTCAATTAAAATTCCTAAATGAAGTAAATTTCTAGATCACAAAAAACAGTGCACAACAAAAGTAGCTTGTCAGTAGTCGCAACCCATGGTACTGAACTGCAGCCAGAAACACCAAGTGCATCATTTTCAGAGTATACCACTGAAAGTGTTTGATGTCTAGGCAGCTTTCCTTTTAATAATAACAATAATGTCAAGTCAGTTCTGACTTACGATAATCCTTTCTAGAATTTTCCAAGCAGAGAATACTCAGAACTGGTTCACCATTCCCATCTTCTGGGGGGTACCCTAATACGGTATGTACACCTTTCCTACAGCCACACAAGTTGCCTCTACTCACAATAGGCACCTCAGCCAGATACCCAAACCACTGAGCTATCTAGCCATCTCACAGCTTTCCTTTTAATCCTTGTTAAAATGAATGGTTTTATCTTTGTTGCTGGCTTCTATAAATTAAACCTGGTGCTGCGCCATTGCCCAGTGCTGTTTGATGAATGATGCCCAGTGCCTGATACGTATGTGTGTTGGTATCTGGTGAATGTCTTGCTGTCTTTTACTTCCCTATATTTTTATCTTCTCCATTTGTCAAACCCCAATGGAACTGACCCCATCAGGGATAAATGGCAGCTGGGACAGACAACCACGAACTCAAACTATCAAAGAGTGTGTATATAGTTTTATAGTTCTTCACAGTTATTGTTCCAGTGCCATATCTTTGACATCAGTAAGGGTCCTCTCGAGGTCCACTTTGAATTCAAGGTATTGATTCTAACCTATAAACGCTAAATGGCTTGTGCCTAAATTATCTCAAGGACTGCATCTACCTTTATAAGCCTGCTTGAGTGTTAAGATAATCAGGAGAGGTCTTTCAGCACCCACACCTTCACAGGTGCATCTGATGGGTACATAGAAGACAGCCTTCTCTGTTGCTGCTCCCAGACTTTGGAACTCCCTCCCACAGGAAGCTAGGGATGTCTCGATCTTTACTGCCCTTCCGTAGGCAGGTGAAGACCTTTCCCTTTAGACAAACTTTCCCTGAGTGACTAGCTGACAGACTAAGAGTTTTAAATGGATTGTTGTACGTTACTGCTTTAAATGTGTTTTAGTATTGCTTATTTTTTTGTATGATATTTGATCCTTTTTAGTATTTGTATATTCACTGTTGTTATCTGTGGTGTTTCATGATTTAAGCTGCATTGGGTCATTTTAAGGTGAAAGATGGGGTAAAAATATTTTAAGTACTGTAAATAAATAAATTTTTGAGAGTTGACATTAAAAGCAGTGTAAACATTGTCAGAAAGGAAGTGCTATTTCATATACTAATAGGTTCAATCTGACTGATTTGGACAGTCATGGCAGGGGTAGGCTCTTAAGTATGTGAAATGTTTGGAAAGACCAACATGGGAATTTTATGCTACTCTTACTGCTTTTGCTCTTTTGTTTTATTTTTAATCAGTATGCTTCTATTTTGGCATTATAAGGTAATATGTAACAGCCTTAGGAATGTGAAAATCAGAAAAGTGGGGTATTAACTGAAAAAAATGTACATTGTAATAGTAAACTCAGGTGTAGAGTTATAGTAACTAGAAAGTGCTACTGAGGAAGTAAAACAGAAAAAAAGGACGTAGCATCGGCTTACTCATGGAAACCTAAACATTAGCAGAAGTAGAAAAGAATATGTCAGAGAACTCCCCCATGCATGAAGCATTGAATATGATCAATGCCACAGAATATTAGGTGGCAGGGGTTTTGGGATGGTGATGGCGGCAGCAGCATGGAGTTAGTTCTAGAAGAGTGAGCAGGAACACATCACACTACATTTTGTTGCAGGACCCCTTCATGATAGTAGTATTAATAAGGAGCAATTCTGACCAATATTTTTGTTCCTCCAAATATAAGCCAAAATTACTTTTTCTGGCTGATGGGTAGTAGCTACACTTCATGGTCAGTGCTTCCTAGGTCACCTGTCAAATATACAAGCATTTCATCAAGATCTTGTAAAAACTTTAAAGTAAATTCAAATGAAGATGTAATATAATTTGTTTATTTTATTTAAAAGTATTTTTTTTAACCTGATGGATTTCCCCAAAATGATGTACAAAAATAGATGTAACAATTTGTTTTAAAACAGTGTGATAACGATCCAGTTCAGGAAAGTGAGGCGTTATTCTATTGTAAACTCATACAGAATTTTCTTTTAAATACACTTGTATTAAATAATTTTTTTAAATAGTGCAAATATTAAGTGAATACCAATATCTGTGGTACTTACTGTCTTTTCCAAATCATCTTGAATTTAGAAAAGACATACATACATTGAATAAATAAATATTATAAATAAAAGGGGGTGAGTGTGTATGTATATATACCCAGTTTATTATAAATAAACTGGGGTGTACAGTGGTGCCTCGCTTAGCGATCACTCCGTTGAGCAATGAAATCGCTTTGCGATGGACTTGGCCATCGCTCGAGCGATCGCTTAGCGATGTCCCCTATGGCTAAAATTCACTTTGCGATGATCGCGGGGAAGCGATCATGGCAAAGCGAACTTTTTAAATCAGCTGATTGGCGGTTCCAAAATGGCCGCCGCTGTTTTGCCTCGCTTTAGAGGCACCCAAAATGGCCACCGCTATGGTGAAATTTCGCTTTAAGGTAAGTTTTTAGCCCATAGGAACGTATGAAATGTGTTTTAATATGTTCCTATGGGCTTTTTAATATCGCTTAGCGATTAAATAACTTAGCGATGTTTTTTCCAGAATGGATTAACATCGCTAAGTGAGGCACCACTGTATACCCAATTTAAAAAACATAAAGAATAATAGGTTCTCAAGGAGAACGAAAATGCCATCTGCTTTGTCACAGATGTTTTGAGAACTGATGTATATGATATAAAACATTCAGGCATTGGCCATACATAGATGGCGAATAGCTCTTGTGGTTTTTTCCATAAATGAAATAAAACCTTGAAGTATGAGGTGCTTGGTAACTGTAGCATTCCAATGTCTCTGCTCTCGAAGTTCTGCAGAAATAGCTTTCTGATTCTCTGGAAGTGGCATAGTTACTGTATCAGGATTGTTCATCTGTTAAGAAAAATATGGATAGGTATGAATAAAATCTCACTGGTTAAACTACTCTTCTCTGAGTGCTGTGTTTATCTGACGAAAGGATTGCATGAAGAGAAGAAAGCACTTTTGGTAATATTTTCAGATTCCAGAGAATCTGAGTTCCTTCCAAATTATTCATTTATTTCATCTGAATTCTACACACTATTGTCCTACAGGCTCAGCAAAGCTTATTTATATAAACACCCTTTATTTCATTGTTGATACATCCCCACTACATAATATTTCTTCATTATCCGTATAATAATATGCTTTCAAATCAATTACAATGAGTGGCAATTTCCTAGGGTTTTCTGAGCACAAGTATTTAGAAGCAGTTTACCAATCTCTTCTGGTGGTGCTATTGACCTTTACTGTATAGCTTGCCCAAGGCTGCTTACGTGGCAGGGCATATAGTGCTCTGAGCAATACTGGCTAGCATTTCTCCTGGGAGGCACACTGGGGATTCAAACTCTAGCCCCTGATTCAGGTGCCCCAACCCACTGAGCTGCAACAATTAAACCTTGCAACAATAATTACAACAGACCACATCTGCTTTTCTTATGTGGCGGAAAAGTTGCAAAGGATGAAATGTAGACAAAGTTTACTTACCATGGATCGCAAATTATTTGCCAGGCGTTGTGTGCTTGGCCATATAGATGTAGTACCATGTGCCCCATCAATAGATGCTTCTTCTATGTATTCCAAATATGTCTGAAATTTGTAAAGGCCACTTGAAAGGTTTCTCAAACATGTCTCCTAAAATGGTGGGGGTGGGGGAAGAAGACACTATTATTCTTCCAAAAGTTTATTTGGCAAAAATATTCTCTCATACTCAAGAACTAATATTTTGAAGTTGCTATTTAGTATAAGCAATCCAAAAGCTCTGGAATTAATGAATTATTATTAATTACATTGGCAACATATGTCTAATTATATCCACAGACCTATGATTCCCTGAAAGAGCCATAAGATCCTCATGTTTTCCTCCTTCCAAAGGGGGAGGGAAGCATGAGAACCAACCTCATAAGCCTATTCGAGCCAGTAGAAACCTCAGTATGTATAGCTTGCCCATCCAATACCAGAATAACAAGAAAAGGAGCACAATACAGGCACATCATAGGTAGATCTTTCAAAGCTTTGGACCATGATTTTATGAGTCAGAAATGTATACTGGGTATGGAGGTGGTGAATTGAATGTTTTTACCATTCATTACGGTAGCAAGGAAACTTGAAAAAGCAACAGGAAGGGATGGAGATAAAATGACTATCCTCCCTCCTTTCTATAATGCAAGTGGTTGGTCTCTCGCTTGTTTCGTAGCAGGATTATTCTGCCCATGCACAAAAATTAAGACTTTGCTCAAATGTTAGCTAGACATTATGTAAAGTGTACATCTTTGTTTTACACACAAATGCTTTCTGTTCTTGCCTTTTCGAATCCAGGTTCATAGCATCCATTGTTTGGAGTGATCTTCGGAAGATGGAGATTATTTTGGTTCACTATCTCCATACTGCCTTTACACATGTCTTGCTCCTTACACAACTAGTAAAACAAAAGAAAAGATTTAATTGAATTTAGGACCCTTGATTGATAAGTTCCAGATGATCAGTATATTTTGTATGTGATGCAAACCATCAATGTATTTTGTATGTGCCATAATAGTGAGGAAAGGTTTTTCTGTTGTCTTCTGATTTTTTTCTACCACATCATCCTTGTCTGATGAGGAAGCAGTAACAGTAGTGTTAAGTCTGGTTTAAATTAGAATGAAAATGTGTACTGGAACAAAATATTTTGAGAAAAAGACAAGGTAGAGTACTATTCACTGATATTTCTGGTTAAACAACTGTTATAAGAACTGATTTACATTTTCCTGTATTTTAAGTTCTCGCTTTTGTTTTCTTAAATGTTTAAGCTCAGTCAGAGTCACAAAATTTCCCAGTCTTCAAAATGAAAGAATGAGATTGCAAATCTGAATCACATTTTCATTAAACTCTTTAACATTTCTGCAGAACACAGTCATTAACCACCCCAGATATCTCTAAACATTGAAATTTCTTTGTTAAATTCTCTCAGCACAACAAACCATACAAATGGCAGTTTCTTAAGCATGCCTCCTAAAATGGAGTTGGGAGAGAAGAAGCTGAATAGCTTTGTGGTTCACAGGTCTGGCTGCGAGCCAGAGGTTGGGAGTTTGATTCCCCACTGTGTCCCCATGTAAGTAGAGCCAGCCTGTGTGGCCTTGGGCAAGTCCCAGGATGCCCACAGAAAAGGGGAATGGTAAACCACTTCTTAGTACTGTATTCTCTATCTGGAAAACCCTGAAAAGGGTCACCATAAGTTAGAACTGACGTAACAGCTCATTCTTCTGAAAGTTTATTTGGCAAAAATATTCTCAAATACAGTAGACTGTTGGCTTTAGATAGCACTACCTGGGGGAAAGGGTGAAGTCTTGCTATCTTCTTAATTTGCTTCCATTAAAAGGCAAACAGCCACATTCTCAGACACTGCAGTTCTTGTCATCAGTTTGTAGTTGAAAAAGAACTTCTCAAGAAAGGGTGTTTACTAAATCCTAAACTCAGTAATAAGAGCTGATGCAGACTTTCCTATTATATAGAATCCACTTTAAGTTATACATTCATTGTACTGTACCTTTATTGTTTCTGGCCATAGGCTTTTACAAAGGCAGACTTACATAAAAACAATTAAAACAAAAGGATGCCTCAGAGGTGAATAAACCCCTTCTGGGAATGGTGGCATAACATATCATATCAAAGTCACTATATTCAACATTTATGTAACATTATGAACCTTAACAATTTTAAGTCACTAACTCTGCTACTCTTTTCTGCGCAATGTATCCATGCTGTGGCAAAAAGCCCGAAAGTGAAGAAGAATTGGGTAGTGCACAGGGTAAATCACTGCCTAGGCGCTGTGCATGTCAGGTAAAGGACAAGGCACCTGCTATGTACAGAAACACAGTGTTTCCATGTGGCAGCCATAATATGGAAATTGTTCTTAAGAGAAGTGAGGAAAGCACAGAAGTATACTATACATTTCTCTCTGAAAAAAAACACACATGCCCCAACTAAGGGAAAGTGAAAGCAAACTTGTATTGCTAAATAAAGAGGAAACTACCAAAAATTACAACCTCTTCAATTTCCGTGTTAAATCTGTTGTAGCAAAATCATCAAAGTGCTATGACATATTCAAGATTAACACATCTATTATTACAAGTCAAGGTGAGTCCAGATGTCCTGAAAATCTTATTTCACAAAGGTTTACAGCATAATAAAACTAGAGAAGTCCTGTGGCAACTTGAAGGCTGACATATGGCATAAGCTTTTTTAAACTGGAGTCCGCTGCATCAAATGAATGAGTTCAAGCCACCAAAGACAGGAGTCAAACTCTTTTTTTTGATGAACTATACTTCAGAAGATCAGCGAGATTTCCTTCCAGGTAAGTGGCATATAAAATTGCAACTTAGGTACGTGTGTGCAGAGTTGAGTTAATGTGCATGAGAATTGTGGGCATACATTTATATGTATGTGTACAATTCTGTTTTAATATGTATCATGTGCATTTGTGAACAGAATATACTTCACTGCTGTTAACCCTCAACACTCATGCTCACCCTCACTCTAAACATTCTTTCCTTGTTAACTATTTAAATCAGTGGTCCCCAACCTTGGGGCTCCAGATGTTCTTGGACTTCAACTCCCAGAAATCCTGGCCAGCAGAGGTGGTGGTGAAAGCTTCTGGAAGTTGTAGTCCAAGAACATCTGGAGGCTCAAGGTTGGGGACCACTGGTTTAAATGATGGGTTGGCTGCTGTAATCTGGTTTACCCACAGTACTCTTGAAGGGAATGGGGGAGAGAGGGCCCAGAAATCCAGGCAGATGGAGCAGGGTGAAAGAATACAGGAGCTGTCAATCAGGAGGCAAAGGGCAACAGCTTTAGCAAACAGGCCCATCTTGTTTTTGTGAACTATCTAGATACCATCCAAGCAGTCTTTCAAGCTCTTGGGGCAGCTGCAACCAAAACTATTACTTGATAATATTGCTGAAAGTTTTTTCTAAAAAGACACTGAATTGTCTATCCTGCTTTTCCCTGTAATGCGATTAAAAATATTTAGTCTCCACATGTCATGGCCTTGGCATCCTCTCCCTGCACACTGTTGAAGATGCTAACGCCTATTAGATCAAACCAGTCTTGGGGTTGGGTCTCTTGCTCCTTCTGCTGAGCAAGACCCTGGACATCTGGATTGAATTCCTACTCTAGCAGCAACCCTGGCCTTTCATGGCTGTTTATGGCACAGTCTTTGGGGAGCAGTGGTGTGGTGGAGCCAGAACTTGGCCTGGTCAAAGCCCTGGGGCTTTTTGAGTAGCAAGTAGCACCACAGCATCTGCCACCCCTTTTGTGAACTCAGCTACAGTCTTCAGAAGGGTTGGGAGAGTTTAAAAAACCCTTTTCTCAGTGTACTGCTGTAAACTTTCCCTGTAGTTATGCAGTGTTCCAGAGTTGTGAGGTCCTGAAAGAGCAATTAAGAGCCACTAGGTGTGCAAAACACCATCTGTTCATTTCTTGCTGCCTGCATTTTTTTTTTTTTACTCTTCTTGGATTACCTGGCGGCAGCTCCGGAGCCTGTCAGGATGCATTTCCAGATTTAACGCCAATTCCCTATTGCGGAGGCGATCACGGGCGGCGCGCTCGCTTGCCCGGTAGCCCCGCCGCCAAGCACTCGCTCCGCGCTCTCCCGGCGCGCACTCACCAACTCGTTCCAACTGGCCGCCGTTTCCCAGAGCCAATGAGCCAAGTAGGCGCTCGTGTGCAAGGGCGGGCGTCCAACCGGCGAAGCCCTGGCACAGGGGACGTCGCTAAATTCTTCATCCCCGGATGAATCCCCGACCGGGAAGCCGAGAGCCCCAAAGGACTTCAGAAGGACAGTTGCAGCCCAGAAATAGCCTAGGGGAAAATAAGAAAGGAATGGAGGTGGTCGGCACGTGAAGGAAGGAAGGAGATGCTTCGTGCGCCAAGTAAGAGTGGCTGCCTGTCTCCAAGCTGCCGCAGCCAACTTGTGAGACGCTCCCTGCGAAAGTTGTTGCCTGCCCGGCAAACTTACATGCTGACAGTAGGACACGCATGGTCTTCCTTCCAAGGGTCTGCCCGGCTTCTCTTGATCTTTGTAAAGGAGCCTTGAGACTTGTGGGGCTGAAGGGTGGAATGAGTTGCTGGCCACGAAGTTGCACCTATTTATTGGATGGTGGGGCTACGGGGGAAATCCAGTCTTGTGTAAATGAATTAGTTTCTCTCCCCCCCACCCCGCACTTTTAATTTTTGTTACAATGAACAGGACAGTTTAACTGCTGGGAAATGTTGAGAACTACAGTACCAGTTAGTGGTTTAATCGAGTTTAATTCCCGCGTGGACTCACTCAAGATGATGCGTTCGTTTGTGTCGTGACTCACTTAATAAGGATTCACCCACCGATTCCCCCGGTTTAGTGGGACGGGTGGAGGGAGATGAGGGGATGAAGAAAATACAAAATATTTGACGGGAGGCAAAATAAAACAAAAAGACATGATTTCCCACTTTAAAGAAGCTTTCTTAGTATGGTACAGTTCTATTCACACTTACGTGGAAATAAACTTTATTGTAAGCAGTGGGACTTCACTATTAATCGTAAAATTATTAATTAAGAAGCATATAGTAATAAATAATTTTACATAGGGTGGGGGGAAGGAGACCATGTTTAGGAAGCAGCTCCTAAAGTGAACAATGGGACATCTACATTCTGTTTAAAATTATTTCCATATTGTTGGTCATTTGACTGTTTGCAAATACAAATGTTATATTTATTTCACAATGACTTGCTAGTTATATTTGTTCAACAATGATTTATATCACTAATTAAATAAATTATTTTTATAGCATCTTTAAATAAGCACTTGTTGGTTCAAATCATGGCATCATTGAGAACAGCAAACTTATAAAAAACATATAGGTAGACAATATAATACTATTGGTTTCTGGAGGTTACTCAGGAAAATAAGACAAGTAAGTAAAGTACATAGTCTGAAAATGAATGATAAGAAAACCAAATTGAAGTTAATCCATGGAAAGCAAGCATTTGGAGAAATGCAGTTTAAAGTTCCAAAATGAATTCAAGGGTGGAGTGTCTTGGTAAATCTAAGTAAATCACTGAAACATAGTTAATTGAAACACTGAGATTATAGCTATGCAATAAGTCAGATGGCCCAGAGCATCTTCCTTAAGATGAAGAATCTAATACAGTACAGAATAAAGACTTAAATGCAACTTTGAGAAAATGCATTGTATGGTGCTGTATATAATTGGTTCTACTGTACAGCATGGAATTGTGTACTTTTAACATAGGCAACTGGACTGGATGAATCCCAAACTGGAATTAAGATTGCCAGAAGAAATATCAACAACAAATATGTAGATGATACTACTCTGATGGCAGAAAGTGAGGAGGAATTAAAGAACCTCTTAATGAGGGTGAAAGAAGACAGTGCAAAAAATGGTCTGAAGTTCTACATCAATAAAACTAAGCTCATGGCCACTGGTCCCATCACCTCTTGGCAAATAGAAGGGGAAGATATGGAGCCAGTGACAGATTTTACTTTCTTGGGCTCCATGATCACTGCAGATGGTGACAGCAGCCACTAAATTGAAAGATCCTTGCTTCTTGGGAGGTAGGTGATGAGATACCTAGACAGCATCTTAAAAAGCAGAGACATCACCTTGCCGACAAAGGTCCACATAGTCAAACTATGATTTTTCCAGTAGCGATGTATGGAAGTGAGAGCTGAACTATAAAGAAGGCTGACCGCCGAAGAATTGATGCTTTTGAACTGTGGTGCTAGAGGAGACTCTTGAGAGTCCCCTGGACTGCAAAGAGAACAAACCTATCCATTGTGAAGGAAATCAACCCTGAGTGCTCACTGGAAGGACAGATCCTGAATCTGAGGCTCCAAGACTTTGGCCATCTCATGAGAAGACTCCCTGGAAAAGATCCTGATGTTAGGAAAGTGTGAAGACAGGAGTAGAAGGTGACAACAGAGAACGAAATGGTTGGACAGTGTCACTGAAGCTACCAACATGAATTTGAGCAAACTCCGGGAGGCAGTGGAAGCCAGGAGGGCCTGGCGTGCTCTGGTCCATGGCGTCATGTAGAGTCGGACACGACTTAACGACTAAACAACAACATAGGCAACTATTTAAAAGTTAGAAGTACTTGAAATGTGAATTTATTTCAGGATGCTAAGCACTTCTAAAATCAGAGGGTGACCAACAAAGAACTAAGATCCTATAGGAGAAAGGCAGCATATAAATATTTTAAACAAATAAATAAAATGAAAGGATAAAGACTAAGGACTCATGAAACACATAAAATGCAGGAGTATAGAATACTTTGCTCACATAATAAGAAAGCAAAAATACTGATTGTTACATTGGATTGTTAAAAATAAAATAAATGGTTGAGAAGGAGAAGGATTTATTGGCTGAAAAATATTGGATGCAACACAACATCACTGTTTAGGGCTGCCACATCCAAAGGTGATGTGCATAGTGATGTCCAGCCTCCCATAGGAGAAGAACACAATAGCTTGTGTCTTATAAAGGATGTGGTGGTGCTGTGGGTTAAACCGCAGAAGCCTCTGTGCTGCAAGGTCAAATAACCAGCAGTCATAAGATCGAATCCATGCAACAGAGTGAGCTCCCATCACTTGTCCCAGCTCCTGCCAACCTAGCAGTTCGAAAGCATGTAAAAATAAGGGTAGATAAATAGGTACCACTTCAGTGGGAAGGTAATGGTGTTCTGTATCTAGTCGCGCTGGCCACGTGACCACGAAACTGTCTACGGACAAACGCTGGCTCTATGTCTTGGAGACAGGGATGAGCACCGTGCCCTCGAGTCAGACATGAATGGACTAAATGTCAAGGGGAACCTTTACCTTTACCTTTGTCTTATAAACCACTGATAAATGAACAGTGGTATAGAAATAATTCAAAATAAAAGAGCCAGAATCCTGTTGATAATTTATGCATATATAAATTACATTCTATGAATTCCTATGACAAACTGCTGCTAATCAAGGAATTGCTGCTAACTAGGCACATGCCTGCTGTGCAGTTGGACACACACAACTGGCACCTAGTTACCCTGTTTCCCTGAAAATAAGACCTAACCTGAAAATAAGCTCTAGTATGATTTTTCAGGATGCTTGTAATATAAGCCCTACTCCAAAAATAAGCCTCGGTTAAGTGAAAGCCCGCCCTTCACCATTGTGCAACAACCAGAAGACGACGACATGACTGTATTTGAATAAACGTAGATTGTACATGAAAAAAAATAATGCTTCCCATGAAAATAAGCCCTAATACGTTTTTGGAGGTTCCCACGAAAATAAGCCCTAATACGTTTTTGGAAAAAAATTAATATAAGACCCTGTCTTATTTTTGGGGAAACATGGTAGCTAGTGGCAGTTCACTGTGGCAAGTTGCGCAATAGCACTCAACATGAATAAGTCATCAACAGATTTCTGACCAGTATACAAAAGTGGCCATATATAAAGTATATGGCCAGCTGGAACTTAAAAGTAGGTATTGGGGAATAAGTTTGATTCATTATGGCTGATTTCAAGAGGCAGGGCTTGGATTTAACTTCCACCACAATGGGATCTTCAATCTTCTGTTGTCAGTGAATGGCTCATATTCACACCTATGGAAAAGCATGTATATATGGGTATGTGTGGAACTGCCAGATAGCTCAGTGGTTTAGGGTTCTGGCTGCAAAGCCAGAGGTTGGGAGTTCGATTCCCCCACTGGGCCTCCTTGACCCATAGTTTCCTTTCCAGCTCTGGAGTTCTAAGATTATTAGGGACGTGGTGGTGCTGTGGGCTAAACCACAGAAGCCTCTGTGCTGCAAGGTCAGAAGACCAGCAGTCGTAAGATCGAATCCACGCGACAGAGTGAGCTCATGTCGCTTTTTCCCAGCTCTCGCCAACCTAGTGGTTCGAAAGCATGCAAATGCGAGTAGATAAATAAGGACCACCTCGGTGGGAAGGTAACAGCGTTCTGTGTCTAAGTCGCACTGGCCATGTGACCACGGAAGATTGTCTTTGGACAAAACGCTGGCTCTATGGCTTGGAAATGGGGATGAGCACCGCCCCCTAGAGTCGAACACGACTGGACAAAAATTGTCAAGGGGAACCTTTACCTTTTACCTTTATGGGTATGTGGGGAAATCCATATAGGGGTAATACTGTGTCAGAAACCAAATCTATCTGTGTCTCCTAATTGTATACTCGGCCTTCTGATACTAAGTGACATGGATTCCACAAGAAACTGGAATGTGTCTTTGGGAGCAAGGTCTTTCTTCCCCAGATTCAAGTATCCTGCTAGTACTGCATCACCTTTGGGAGCAATAAAGGAAGACACAGCGATGTGCAAGAAACCGACATATTCCCCTCAGGTAAGCATCAATCTGATAACTTGATAGGAACTTGGTGGCCAAGGCAGAGCCGTTCTTTTTGTGAACTAGGTTATTTACCCCAATTTTAGTGCCAATCTGCTATTTGGACTAGTGGATATTTTGTCAGTTGTGTAGCTTGGGATGGGGGGTGGAATTGGACCCTGAAGTCCCAGTCCTACATTCAAATCAATACACTGCACTCATTTAGTAACCTTGCAGTGATTCAAGACAGTCAGCCTTTCCCCAGTCTGGTGCCCCTGTACATGCATTGGTTTACAACTCTCATATACCCATTCAGGATGGCCACTAACTTATCAGGATGGAACCAGGAAAGGTGGGGCTGAGCGCTGTTTCAGCACAGCTCCTTCTGCACCTTAATTAGAACACAGGATATTACAGGACATGTTCACTTTTGGTTTTTTGCAAAATTGGTAAATGCTAAACACAATGAACATTAAGCCAAAATACATTTTCTGATCAGGTTCTCCATTAATGTGAGCAGTTTCATAGGATTTTTTTTGTCAAGTAAGCCTTTTCTACCACTGTGCTTAGTTACCATGCAATACAAGCAGGTGGGAAATTCATGTGAAAAATATTCTCCCTTTTTAACTTTCACTTGAAACTCAGAAAAAGACACTCCCAAGTGTAGGCAGGGTAATGAGAATTGCCCAAAGCACTGTACAACTAATCTATGCAAATTGTTC